GAGTTCCGCGTTGGCCCAATTTCAATGTGGGTCAGAAGTTTTCAGACTTTCTCCTTAGGTCTGGAATCTTCTAAGAATGATTTTGGCCTCAGGAACTTGGGTGTTGGACTGACCTGAGACCCTGGCCGTGGCCGCGCCAGGCAGGCATGCAAAGGCAGATGGGGTGGGAAGAAGCCCCAAGATTTCCCAGGGAGTGGATTGAGTAGCTGAGTTGTACTGGATGGAAAGTATCAGGGAGAGGAAAAGTAAGCCTCGGAGCCCCAGAAAGAGGCTGTCAGCCCCAGATAGTGGCTGGCGGGTGTTGCAGGACCAGGGAAGTAGAAGGAGGTGAGGGCGGGGCCAGGTCCAGAAGTGGTGCTCCTGGGGCCCAAGAAAGGCACTAAGTTGGTCTGGGTGAGAAGGGTCAGAAAGCAGTATTGGTTCCCCTGGTGTCTGGGGCCCCAAGACTAGGGATGGCGCAGGGCCCAAACTAGGAGTAGAGAACAGCGGGGGAGATGGAAGGGTGAATCATCTCTAAATCTTAATAACCACAATGCCTATCACAGAAAACTGTCTCTGTTGGTGTATTAGTGGCACTTTTATCTTGGAGGTAATCAACAGCTATCTAATCAGACTAAAGTTCTTTCAGTGGGAGAGAACTCATGAGTCACACTGTAACGGCCCAACAAAGGGACTGAGTTGGTCTGGGTGAGAAGGATCAGGAAGCAGTATTGGTTCCCCATGTGTCTGGGGCCCCAAGACTAGGAGTGGTGCAGGTCCCACCCTAGGTGTAGCGAACAGCTGGAGAGATGGAAGGGTGAATGTGGCTTTGGGAGTCAAGGCGCGGAGAGCTGCGCTACAGACTTACCCCAAGAGGCCTGAGGATTGGAGTGCAGGCTAGGAGAGCTGTATGCTGTTTTATACAGAATGAGAAACCTGTTGATTCTGAAGCATTTGGAGGTGCTGCTTTGAAACGGTTTGTCAGTGAGGCAGGTCAGATTCCGATTTTATGGGCAGTCAATCAATGAAACAGACGCACCTGCACAGTTGGAAATGCAGGACAAAGATCCGATTGATGTGTTCCAGCAGCAGACAGGAGGTGTCTGCTGAAAGGGAACCTGCTTTATTCCAGAATTTTGTTATAGACCCAGAATACATTCTCAATTAGAAAGCCTCAATTTGGTTCCACCAAATCCTAACTACTACAGTATTATTTTCTCTGTTCTTTCATTTCCCCATCTCCATTCCTTTCTTGTACATAAAAGTAACTGGTCTATATGCACAAGCATATTGCACTTTTTTCTTTTTAATCTAAATGGCCGATGTTCTGTTTTGGTCGACATCAGATGGAGATGGTATGGGAATGCAGTGGTTCTGTGAAAACCTCCCCATTTCCATTAGTGGCATGCTCCGTCAGCTCTTACCTTTATATTTCAGTAAGTTATTTTGCTCCATTGTTTTAACAACAGCAGCAAAAACACACAAAAATCCTTGCATACCTTGTTTGACTAGAGAATTTTAATGTTTTTCATTTATCATTGTAAAACCAAGGACAATTTTATAACTTTTTTGTATGTAGCTGTTACATGTAAGGCAATCTGTCGTTAAGTAGGGGTAAATTACTCTTGAAAGAAAATGAATCCTAGATAGTTTTCCCTTCAAGTCAAGCGTCTTCTTGTTTAAAGAAACTTCTTGTTTATTAAAACAAACAAACAAACAAACAAAAAAACAGTAGTAGAGTTGAGCCCAGTGTGGTGGCGCATGTCTTTAATCCCAGCACTCAGGAGGCAGAGGCAGGCAGATCTTTGTGAGTTTAAGGCCAACCTGGTCTACATAGCGAGTTCCAGGCCAGCTGGGGCTACAGGGAGATCCTGTCTTAAAAAGACACCAAAAAAAAAAAAAAAAAAAAGTGACAATAGTCTGTAAGATAAACGTGACGTTTCTGTAACTGAGTTTTATAACTGAGTTTTATTTATTTTATGTCAGTAGTTGTGATTTTCTGAAAACTGATACAGATTTAGAAATGTTTCTATGTTTTTTCTTGACATTAGGAAACAAGGAAAAAAAGAGTGGTATCCAAAAAGATAAGAAAAAATCCAGAAAGAAACGTTTTTCTAGTGGGTCTAAGAACAAATTAGTTCCTGAAGAAGTGACTTTGACTGTCTTGAGAAGTCGTAGAATATCTCGGTGTCCATCTGATTGGTGGGTGGTAAAACCAGAGGAAAGTAAGTATTTTTATTTAAATTATCATCTTTGAAAGGTCCCTAAAATCATTCTCTATGAGGTTTTATGTGGGACTTATATTTCCATACCTGGCCTCAGGTTTTTAATGAAGATTAAATGTAATTGAATAGTAAATTGAAATGCTGTTTTCTGCTTTGGGGAATTCACTTATGTTCTAGATTGTCTGAAACCTTGTGTTCTGTGGTGCTAGATGAGTATGTAAGTATTTTGATAAATAAGATCTCTTATTAGAGCTTGGATGAATAATCTAGAACCTGATGATTTTTAAGGGGTTACTTTTGTATACTCCATGGAATCAGTAAGTTTCTACCACACTAGGAATCACAAAAGTAACAGAATGTTTTTTATACATCATATAGTTAAAACTGTATCATGTTACGGGAGAAATATATGTCTTGCTCCTAAGTTGTGTGTCATACTGCTGACCTTTCACATATGCAAAGATGACATTTATTAAGTGCTTGTTCTAAAGCATGAGTAGTATAATACAGGGTCAGTGCTATGATGATGCAATCGAGACACTGAAATAGAAGACTTAGGGAGATACTTAGCCTTAGAATTGTGTGACTTCAGACTCCTGCACGGATGACTCTGAAAGTGAGTACCTTAAATTTTCTGTCTTGAGTCTACTTTCTTGCTTTACCAGTCTTGCTCTGATGTTATATGAGTATTATATAGCTATTTCTTCCACATTTCAAATATTCCTTCCTGGAGGGAGGAGGGAGATTGATAGGATTCAGGAAACTAAAAAAGTTCCAAGACTCTAGAGAGTAGAAACTTAACAGACTCAGGAAGCTCAGAAAGTTGATGGGGAAGAAGAAACATTTCAGTGAAGCAGCCTGTATGTTTGCTAGGGAGCTTTAGGTATGTAACGTTTATGAGTCATAATGATGGGGTAGGTTTTTCAGTGATAGAGCTACCTTTGTGCCATCCATCCGCCTATAAATAGACTCATTGGTTTACCAAGCTAGACTTGAATAGAATTGTTCCTTTATTGTCAGTGCCCTATCAGGGTCGAATAGATGTTTGTCCATGCTTATCTCTAAGGAACACCATTAAACAAGTATAAGTACAGGGGAAACACCAGTCAGTTCCTTGGTCTCAGAATTGTAAATCACTGAAGGAGAATTGAGATAAGTAAGCAGTAAGATATATGATAAATGTATGAAGATGTATGTATGAAACAAAGATGTATGAATTGATTCCTGAAAGATGAATTGGGAGTTGGCTATTTGGATGGTGTGAGAAGGAAGAACTGTATATCTCAAGCAGCTGTAGTCTGTGGTATGCAGAGTCCTGGAGTGAAGGGCTTGATGTTTGTATTTTTTCTTTCTAAAAATAATTTTGAGGGGCTGGAGAGATGGCTCAGCAGTTAAGAGCACTATAATTTTGAGGGGCTGGAGAGATGGCTCAGCAGCTAAGAGCACTGACTGCTCTTGCAGAGGACCTGGGTTCAATTCCCAGCACCCACAGGGCAGCTACGAAATGTCCTTAACTACAGTTCCAGGGGAATCTGAAACCTTCTTCTGTGGCGCAGCATTGCACGACACGGTTGCATTCTCATAGATGCAGGCAATACACTCATGCACATTAAAAAAAAAAGCTTCCTTAAAAAAAAAATAATAATTTTGAGATGGCCTTGTGATATAGCCCAAGCTGGGCTTGAACACAGGATTCTCTTTCCTCAATCTCCCTGAATACTGGGATTATAGGTGTGTGCCACCAGACCCAGCTGTTTTTTGCTTAGTGTGCTTTCAAAGATCTCTAAGAGTTACTTAACAGATTACTGAGCCATAACTGAGTTTTTGTTTCTGGAGGTGGGGCATTTAAAGCAAGTTCCTGTGACTGGAGAGATGGCTCCTTGTTTAAGAGTTCTGTTTCCAGCACCCAGGTCAGACAACTCACAACCTCCTGTAATTCTAGCTCCTGAGGATCTGACACCTTCTTCTGGCTTTCATGAACACCATACACATATGCACAAACCCACACTCAGACACACATACACATAATTAGAAAAAAAATATTTAAACAAGTTCCTAAGTGACACATCTTTTTAAAAAATATTTTGTTCATTATTTTTATTTTATGTATGAGTGTTTTGCCTGCTTGTATGTAAGTGCACCACATACATGCAGTATCCATAGAAGCCAGAAGAGGGTGTTGGATCCCTGGAACTGGCGTTATGGATGATTGTTAGCCACCATGTGGGAGCTGGGAACCAAACCTGGATCCTCAATGAGGGCTGCCAGTGCTTTTAACTACTGAGTCAGCATCAGTGATACTGATCTTAACAGTCTGAAAACTGCCATTTGAGAACCAGTGCTTTGGAAAATATGCAGTAGTTCATTGCTACTGAATTTTTTTGATTTATTTGTTTGGAAGACGATACTAAAATTGTACCTGATGAAATAACAAATTCTAGATGTAGAAATAAGTAGATATTAGGGTCAGTGAGATGGTTCAGTAGGTGAAAGCACTTGCCATACAAACTTGACAACCTGAGTTTGATCCCTGGATCCTGTGGTGGAAGGAGAGAACTGGCTCCCAGAAGTTGTCCTTTAATCTTCTTACATGTGCCATGAGACACCTATGATTGATCTCTCTCTCAAATTGATATTAAAAGTATTTTAATTTAATTTAGAAACTATAGCTACTCATTTCTTTAAAACTCCGTGTGTCTTTTAAATGGAATCTTACTATATTGCCCAGACTGGTTTTTATTTCATGAGTTTATCTCCCTGCTTTAGAGTCCTGAGTAGGTGGAAGTACAGGTGTGTGCCTCTCACTAAATGATTTTAAGCAGGATTATAAGGATCCAGTTTTTGTTTATCAAAGGTGGTTCCTGAAGCCATGTGAAGAATGGTTAAAGAACAGCCAGGTTACAGAAAGGTTAAGAAATTGCTTTAATAAAGCATCTGGAAAAAAAAAAAAAGACTTCTGCTAATGTCAGCCTAGAGACCTTGAAAACATACATTAGAAAAACATTAAGAAAGAACTAACAGGATATCAGGATTGATACAGACAGGGATGAGAGTTTTGGATTACTCACTTATGATTTAGAAATCTAGATACATAGTTGAATTTATTATCAAGATAGGAAATAAAAGAGGCAGATTTAGGGAACAGTGGTAGGTGGATATTACTGGTATCAGCATATAGATACTATTTAAAGCTATGGGTAGAAAGAGTATAAAGTGAAAAAAATTTGAACTGTGAGACGTTAAGATTTTAAGGATGGTGTAGGTACTTTTCTGCTGTTGTGATAAAATAATCTTGAGAAAAACAACTTAAGGGAGAAAAGATTTATTTTGGCTTTCAGTTCCAGCAGTATATAATCCATCATGGTAGGGAAGGCATGGTAGCAGGAACAGGAGGCTGGCTGGTCATGGTGTATCCACATTCAAGGAGCAAAGAATGATGGATGTATGCTACTGCTCAGCTCCTTTTCTCTACTTACATAGTGCAGGATTCAAGATCCCAACCAGGGAATGGTACTACTTGCTATGGGTGATTTATCCTACCTCAGTTAACACAATCAAGTTAATCTACGGGCATGCTCAGAGGCCCATATCTCATGAAATTCTAGATTCTGTCAAGTTGACAACATTTATCATCGATGGTCAGGAGAATAGTGTGCAGAGCCAGAGAAAATGTTGTGAAAGTTTGTGGTGGATTTAAAAAAAATCAAGTACATGTCTTTATAAATTGAATTTAGAAATGTTAAAAAAACCAACGTGGGAATAAATTTAGCTTATGAAATTGGTTTCTGTATGTATTGATATGTAACTGTAATTATGTTGGTATTTTAGTGACCCAGATCACCTGAACAAGCATGCTAACTTTAAATTGTCATTGATTCCTTCAGATACTTTTGATAGAAATTCTTCAAAAGGAAATGAATTATCAGTGTATCAAAATAGACAAAAAAACACTAAGAAAAATCGATTATCTAAGGATACTGGGAAAATACCTGTTCCATCGAAAAGGCGAAAGACAACTACTCAAAGCAGCTCAAGAGTTCAGAAGTTTTTAGATATTAAGGATTCTGGAGAAAGTAGTATTCACTGTGATGAAATTTCCAGTCGCCAGAATGAACCATTGGAAAATGATAAGGAAGACCTGACTCAGAAGAAAAATCTTGATTTTTCTGGGTAATTTCTATTGAACAATATAGTTAGTTTTATTGTTCAGTTTGTTGTTTAATATTCAGAAAGAGAATAAACATAAAGCATTCTGACAAAGTTGTTATTAAATCCAGGCTCTTCAACTAGCTAGATGACACCTAGGTACAGTTTTACTCTGTTCTTGTTTCCTCACTGTAAACTAGGGAATGATAGGTAATTAGCTGTTTAGTATACATAAACTGTCTAGTTAATGTCTCCTAGTATCATTTCATTCTCTTACTACTCTCAGAACAAATTTGCACTATTTCTCTAATTTTTTTCAAATTGGAAATCTTAAATAGGTCCTGCCTTTCTGAACCTAAGTTTAAATCTTAGGGCCTAAACGTTGTGAGGTGATATTTGCTGTAGCCCATTTTATATTGTTTATATACCCATTTGTGTATTGTTTCTAGGAGAAAGTGCTTTTGAAGAAAAAATAGTTTTAAACTTCTCTTTTTCATAGAACTATAGGATGCACCAAATATCAAAATAGTGTTAAGACTGTATGTAATGTTCATTTAAAGTCTCATACCTGTGAATGTATAAGGAAGATACCAAAGGAGTCCAATTTGGATTCTGGAAAGCCTCAAATTTCAGGTTTGGAAGTAAGGTGTGTATATGTTGTTGGAATAATAGAAGCTCCTCATTATACTAGTTATCTACTGCCATGTAACAAATTACCCCCAAACATAATTCTACTTCTGTTATTGTCTTGTAAACATGTATTGTTTCATACTTGCTATGGGTCAGAAATCTGGGATAGGCTTGGGTTGCTGGTTTAGGTTTAGAGATTCTTAGGAGATAGTAAATATGTCTTTCTATTTTATACCTATTTGAAGCCTTAAGTAGAACTAAGGGATTCACTTAATGCCTCATATAGCCTTTGGTGGCAGGTCCCTGTTCTTTATCTTTTGTCAGTAGACCTTAGTTCTTTGTCATGTAACCTTTTCCATGTGGCAGCTTAATATGGCTGCTGATTTGCCACAAACCAAATGATCTAAGAAAGTAACTGTGATAAAAAGTAAGTATCTTTCAATAACTTGATGTCTGGTTTTACATTCAATTTTACTGTATCCTGTTCATTAGAAAAAAGTTAACACGAGTCCAGACTACACTCAAAGAAAAGGAAAATTTAGCTTTGTGTTTTGAAAGAAAGATTCCTAAAGAATTTGTAGATATATTGTAAAAATATCCATAAACTCACTGACCAGGTGAAGTTAATCTATACATATTATATATGAAGTAATAAAATCTTTAAAAAATAAAAGGTAAGTTAATAGTGAATTATAAGGTGTTTAAGGGATGACTAAGATTTCTTTAGTGTTTTGAGGGTTATGACTAAGACTATTTTAGATTCTTTATAGGAGGAAAGGGATCCAAGAGTCATGAGTCATCTGTGGAAATTTGAATGTTACTGTTGGACTTGATTAAATTTATAACTGATCCTTGAATTATGTTATAGCTGATCTAGGTGGTATATGCTTGTAAATCTAGCACTTAGAAGGCTGATGAAGGGGGATCGAAAGTTTGAGTTCACCTTAGGCTACGTGGCCTACATAGGTCCAGGCCGGCCTCAGCTACATAGCTATTGTATATATGTGTGTGTGTGTGTGTGTGTGTGTGTGTGTGTGTGTGTGTGTACTTTGTATTATTTTACTTAATTACAAGATTAAATAATAGTCTTTATTTTAATGCTGTATAGAAATACATTGTTGATAACCTATAACTTCTCTTGGTTTTATAAGAAAAAAAAAATCAGTGACAACTTTAGGAGAACAATGATTTTGAAGTTTAGATGTATATTTGTATTATAAAAGTTCAAATTTTGACATTCATTTTGTTTTTGCTCTTAAGTGGACCTTCCAGGTTGACGAATTGTGTAATGTCTGGAAAGAATAATTCTGACATGGAAGACAAAGAAGTTCAGGAGAGTTTAGGTAAGTCATTATTTTCTATTGTTTTGGTTTCTGTAATATTATGGTTATAAAGTTAAATATACTGTGTTTTATTTTAATTTTCATCAACAGCAAGTATGAGCCTCCTGAGATTGTTGCTATATAGTTGGAAATTTTTGAGAGAAAATGGGTGACAAGGAAAAAGAAAGTAATGCATAATGGAATACTAGCAGTTAAGATGTATATACTGCAGTATTTAAAAATGTTCAGCTGGGCTGTTGAGATGGTCCAGATGGGTAAAGGCACTTACTATCAAGTTGATGACCAAGTTCAGTCACCGGAACCCCCATGGGTGGGTGTAAGGAGAGAACCGATTCCCACAAATTGTCCTCTGACCTTCATATATATGCCCCATGGTATGCATGTTCCCTCCCCAATAAATAAATGCTTAAAAAATTAAATGAAATAAGTGTTTCTGATAAGAATAAAGCAACTTTAACCAGATATTGATGGTTACAGAAGGTGAATGATTGATATATTGTGTTCATTATGCTGTTTTTCTCTATTTCTAATAATTTTGAGACTTCTCATGTTAAGGTGTCTCTAATGTCTCAGTAGAGAGATTTTTTTTTTCACTCTCCTAAAGAATTTGTGGTTAGATTTGATGTTATACTGCCCCTCCAAATTCACTAATTTGTTTTTTTCCTTGTCTTTAGATTTATTTTATTATATTTCTCTTTTAACTTGAACCCTTTCCATATAGTTTAAAAAAAATTTTTATTTACCAGATAGGACTTAACATATATGATTGACTGCATGAAATCTGATGGACGGTTATGGGGGTTGTGGATGGGGAAGGGGGATGTAAATTTGATTAAGCTTTATTATGTGAAATGCACAAAAACTCAATGAAAATATTAAAGTTTTTTTTTTTGGTGAAGAAGCATTGAATTTAACCTGAGTACAATTTTGATGTCATTTCATAGGTTTTCTTATATACTATACATACATTCTTATATAAGAATATATATATATGTATATTAAGGGACTGGAGAGATGGCTCAGCAGTTAAGAGCATTGGCTGTTCTTGTAGAAGACCTGAGTTTGAATCCCAGAACTCCCATGGTGGCTAACAGCTGTTCATTACTCCAGTTCCAGGGGATTCAACACTCTGTTCTGTCCTCCATAGGCACTGCATGATATGGGTGCACTTATATGCAGGCATAACACTCATACACATAAAATAAAAATTAATAAAAAATAATATATGTATATTTTTTCAGTAATATATGTTTAAGTACAGTGATTTTTCTTTGACCCAGAAATGAATTAAGAAATTTGTAGTAAGATCTTGATCTCTAGACCTGATAATAAAGCCAGTTCTACTTATTAGCTGTCGTCTTGAATAAGAAAATTTTGTTCCTGTCTTCAGTTTACTTGTGTACAAAATTCCAGGATTGTGACTGGAATGGGACTGTACAGTCTTCAGTCTTCTGCCATGTGAGGACTGACCAATTTCTGGGTGTGATCAGAGTAGGTATCCTTGGGTAGAACCCTGTGCTGCCTACTCAGTGTGATCTGGATAAGGCTGATCTGGATAAGGGTCTATCATCCAGGCCTTTGGTTTTTCTGGGGATGTGGCTCTCTTCACCTGGGTGTGATCGATCTACAGGGTAATACCTGTAGCTTTAACAGCAGTGGGAGTTGCTATGAGAGGGCTGATCCCAGACCAGGTGGATGGTTCCTTTTTCCAATCTTTAACCCATATCTGGCTTTAACCCATTTCCTGACTGATAGTTGTACATCCAGTTTCCCAAGGAAGTAGGGGCCCTTTTTAATGTCTCCCAGATGATGATGTGCAATGTCTTCCCCAGGGTTAGGAGACGTCTGAATATTTCTAAGCCTCCTATCTGTTGGGTGTTCCCCTTCAAGTTTCCTGTTATTGGGGGAGGTCTCCCATAAAGAATTTCAAAAGGGAAGGAAGAAACTGCAAAGTTTTGAGGTGCATCTTGTTCAGAGTAAAACCGAGGTTAACAAGTCTATCCAGTGTGCCCTGGTGTTTTGGCAAAACTTAGACAGTTTATAGGGTCAGGGTTATGTGTTCAACTTTGCCTGAACTTCGTGGTCTTCAATCTGCGTAAAGCTTCCTTTTAATTTCTAAGTTTTTAGACAATGTCTAAACTATCTTAGATACAAAGGCAGACCTGTTATCTGATCCTGTTGAGAGTAGCAGCCATATCTTAGAATGATTTCTCTAAATAGGGCTTAAACTACCTGTCGTGCTTGTTCTATGTGATTTGGAAAGGTGTCAGTTCATGTGTAGGTGCTAATCAACACAAACAAATATCAATAACCATGGTGAGCCTTGACTAAATTAAAAATAAATAAATAAATAAAATAGATAAATAAAATGTCCCAATCTGGGGCTGGAGAGATGACTCAGTAGTTAAGAGCACCAGCTGCTCTTGTAGAGGACCTGGGTTCTGTTCTCAGCACCCACATAGTGGCTAACAACCATCTGTAACCCCAGAAAAAAAAAAAAAAAAAGACTGTCTCCAGTTCTTCAGAGGGCATTGTTCTGGTGGTTTATGCTCCTTGGTTGAGTTTTGGTCTTTGGTCAGTGTTGTTTTTGTTCACGGGTTATACATCTCATGCTGACCTATGCACAGAGGGTTAAAAGTTTAGGTATGAAGTATTAGTGCTACTTAGCAGGGTTTTCAGAGCAGTTTTCCCTAGGTGTATTAGTTAATGAAATTATTTTATTGACTGAGCTGCTACCTTAATAGGGATAAAAAGGCTCTAATATGGACGCTCCCACCAGATTCCTTGTTGTTTAGATCTTCCTTTGTTTATGGCTCATTGGTTTTCTTTTCAGTGTATTTTAGAGGCAGGGGCAATTCTAGTACTAAGACTAGAAACAGGCTTAGGACCAATACTTGGTTGGTTTGCAGCCTTTGTTGGCTACCTCATTGATCTGTCAGTTTCCCCTACTTAATAGTGTTGTCTCCTTTCTGGTGTTATTTGTAGGATTCTAATGATTGAAGGATTTCTTTCTCATTTTTGCCCCCCCCCCATCCCGTCAGTAGTCCCCTTCTTTATAGATGGCTCCATGAACATGTAGGGTAACAAAGGCAGATATTTTGAATCAATGTAGATGTTGATTAATTTTCCTTCAGCATGTTGAAATACCTGTATGAGCACCCATAATTCTACTTGTTATGCTCACCCATCCTGTAGTAAGGCCTTAATGACCTTGTCTGTGGGGGTTATTGTATATCTCACTTTGTGTTGCCCCTCACGGATATAGATGCTCCCATCAGTGAACTGTTCTAGCTCCAGGTTCTGAAGGGGGTCCTCAGACAAGGCCAACCTGCTTGAATAGACTTCATCTATTACCTCTTTGCAGTTGTGATTGGAGGGCCCTTCCTTGTTCTAGTTTGTTTCTCCATTGCTGTGACAAAACACTCTGACCAGTACCAACTTAAGGGGAAGAAAGGGTTTATTTGTCTTACATCTCCCAGGTCACAGTTCATCAGGGAGCCCAAGGTAGGAACTCAGGGCAGGAACCTGGAGGCAGGAGCTGGAGCACAGGCCATGGATGGAGGAATGCTGTTTACTAGCTTGCTTCCTTGGTCCATGTTCAACTTGCTTTCTTATTCAAAATAGGCCCACCTGCCCAGGGGTGGCAGTACCCACAGTGGGCTAGACCCTCCCACATCATTCAACACTCAAGGAAATTCCTCCACAGACATGGCCACAGGCCAGCCCAATAGAGGCAATTCCCCAGTTGAGGCTCCCTCAACCCAGGTGTGTCAAGTTGACACTAAAGCTATCCAGCATAGCCCTGCTTCAGGGGCAAGAAGGTAGCTCCTGGATTTAATGTTATCACTGTTTTGAGGCAGATCAATGGATTTTCACAAAGCATCCTTGATAATGAGTCATCCTAGTGTGGATCAGCCATTTATGCCCTTTGTTATTCATTAGCACAGGGACAGCATTTGGAACTTTTACATTTAGGGTTTGTCCCAGTGTGAGCTTATCAGTCTGTCCAGCTAGGACCACAGTGGCAGGTGGAGCCTGGAGATGTGGTGGCCATCCTGCCCACTAGGTCCAGTGGTTTGGGTAGATGTGAAACTGGATGTTGCCAGGATCTATCCTCACCGCCCCACCCCACCCCAACCAGTGCAGTGTGACTTCTTTTTTTTTTTTCCACACAGAGTGGAAGTCTTGGGTTACATCTGGTAGGCCGAACACTGGGACATTACTTAGGCATTTCTTTACTTTGAAGGCCTCTTCCTCAGGTCCCCATTTCAAGGAGTCTTCTACCAGAACCAGCTCTGACTTTATATGGTGGCTTGACAAGTTTTGAGTTGCTTGGTGTCCATATCCATCAGAATATGGCCTCCTGAGTGTTAGATTTAAGAGAGCAAAAAAAGAAATGGAGTTTAAAGTTACAGAGCCAGACCTACAACAGGCAAGGGCTGAGGCCTTGCTGTGGGAATCAGGCATCTACATCGAAGGGAGGGACAGTTTCCACTTTTATAGGAACTCTGCTGCACGCAGCTGTAAGAATTAACGCCGTGCCAGGGTCTGGTATCCTTGAGGGTGTCTCTCCCAAGATTATTTTCTCAGGCAGGTGAACTATCTTAGGGCACTAAAGGAGACAGACTGGCTCCATAAACAGTCTCCCTTAGTCCAGGAGTGACCAGTTGATAAAGCTTAAGCAAGGCCAGCCTGCCAACGTAGGGCCAGTTGGCCACTTTAAGGGATTTATAGCTTTCCCTAATGAGGCTTGTGGCTCTTCTGTAATTCATACATTCTATCACCGAGGAATTTACTCACTTCTTTCTTAGTCTTTGGGCGAGGTATTAAACAGATAACTTGTTTTCTCTCATGCTCTTACGTCCTTTGAAAATGACAAACCTGAGGTATATCCCCTCTTGTCTGCAGAATGGGACCTTTTTCCATGATACTTTATATTTTGTGGTGGAGAGCAGGGCCACCAGGGCTCTACCTTCCCAGTACCTTGCCAGTAGTCCTTT